AATTCTTATTCTTATTTCTCTTTGTTATTAAATATCACATTGTCTTGCAACAATTTTATATATAACCATATAATTATCTTTTCTTCTATAATTATTCGTTCTCCCCACGTTATTAAGAATCCGCATAATAGTATAAGTTGAAGCTGCTATTGTGCATTTGAGATTACTCATTTCGAGTTTCGACAATAAAAAATAATTGCTCACAATTATATGAATATGAATAAATTTCACAAAATAAATTATTACGAGCCATAGATTGATTTTTCTATACGGAATATATTTTTATTCGTTCTCAACTTTTTTCTCTGACCGCGTCCCGCTTAATTGCATTAATCATGATATTTTGATGAAATAGAGAATGTATTAAACATTCGTTAAAAACTGAGAACTTGAGGGAGAAAAAAATATGATGATCGTTTCGAGAAAACTTCTCTATGCGGAACGTACCATTTCCTGCAGGCTGCGAACTGCGCAAGCTGCACTTGGGCAAATTTACTACGCCGGAGATTCCAAGAAAATCTATTTAATCTCCCGTCCGTCGATGGAAGCATGCCGTGCCGCGTAGACTAATGAGAAGTGGGGTCGTTTTTGACGTGGGGTATTTATTATTGAGACGAGCGTTGCAGTCGGCGGAAGGAGTTAGGTGTTTCCCTCTTTCTTCGCGCGCGCAAGAGGGAATGAAAGATGGAAAAGAGAAAGAGAGAAAGGTCGCGCCTCGAGCTTTAATTACCTCTGGCGGTCTTTTGAAGCTGCAGCGCTGACTTTCGTCTCCTTTTCGTAACAATTATTATTAGTATTTTTTTTCTATTCGCGTCATTTTACGTCGGTATGCATGCAATGCATCTTGCACGCGTATAACTGCGTACCTACTTCGGAAAAAAGATTAAAACTCCTCTTTTGTTCTTGAAACTGTTAAGGACCTCATGGTTTCTTATCGCCAGGCTTAGCGCACGAGTCTTCGTTTTTCTTCTCTCGTCGAGGTATCTCCGTGAAACCCTGGAAAAATTTCCCGCAGCATGGTACGCGGAAAGGAGAATATTTGCTGTCTCGGGTATATTTGCTGCGGAAGCAAAAATTTCGCTTCCTTCTGCGAGCGTCTGCCAAGTTAATCTCATTTCCTCGTACAATAATTAATCGGATTTCTCTACATGGCCACTTCACGTTTATCTTCAAAGAAAATATATATTTCTTCAATTTTATTAAGAGAAATTAGAGAAATTATTAATAAAAATCTGCTGAATGTACATATAAACATGTATACGTACAATTCCGAATTGAAGCAACAAAGAATATTATTTATGCATTGCAGATTATAATATGTCTTTCTGTTATCGTAACTCTCACATTGGGGAACAATATTTCATTTATAAAAATATTTGAATCTTTTAGTACATATGTAATAATACGTAATGGGTTAATCCTATTACGTTTTTCTAATAAATTTTTCGTAGGGGGATAAATCTCAAATTAAATATTAAATGCGTTAATGGATTTCGTCCTCGTAATGAGGAAAAATAAATCGAGATTAGTAATTGAATTGTTTAGCGATAGAGCGGTGAATAATCATGAGATCGAATGGATTATACAGCGTTTGCATGAAATTACGCGGTTGAGCGCCGATGACGATAGACATCATCTTCAGCATGTGAGAGGGAGATGCAGAATCCTCCGGCGCATTAGCGTCGGCGCAAGCTGGCTATCAATATTAACAAGATAGTAATCGGACGCCAGATATAGAGAGGCACGTTCGATCGATAACGAATAGCTGGTCTTTCAAAAGGGACAAATCGATACGATACTGAAATGTTCGAACCGCATCATCGTCGTCGGTTTTTTTTCCCCGATTGCTAACCGCGAAATTTTACGCACGAGCAACTTGCGCCTTACGTGTGAATGCGTTCCAAAAGGATTACATACGCCGAGTTGATAATAAGGCAATGAATAGTGATGAGCCGGGATATGTCACACGCTTGAGGAACTGTATCTCGGGGTAGAATTTTAGATCACGTCATGTTAGCACCTGTCCAATTGCATCGCAATTAATCATGCGTTTAAGCCAATGTTTTCGATCGTGTTCGCAACACATTTCCAAGATAATCGTATTCATTGAGCTAGAAAAAGATATTCATTTTTTTTTTCACCGTTAAAAATAATATCAAGAAAGTTAATCATCTTTTGTTCCCGCCGATTAAAAGCAAATTGCATTAGTTATTAATAGTTATAATTGAACGCGCACATTATACGGGTTGAAGCAGTTCGTTAATTAAAATTAAATAATCATGAAATTTCGAGGAAAATTGTTGATCAAACATATATTTCCAGGAGGGTTGCTTCCGAGACGGAAAACCAAGCGGGATAATCATAAAGTACTGAATAATCATGAAGTTAATCGCGCGACACGCGAGGTGCCTTCTCGCCGGCTTGGAAGAGGGGACTCAACGAAGTCAACGCGGGCTCCCTCGACGCATTAGCGCCGGCGCGGATGCTCCATCAATATTAATAAGATCATAACCGGACGGGCGGATGTATAGAGATGGCCGATCGGATGGCCAATTTACCTAGCGGTTAGACGAGGTTTTTCGTCTCGCCTTTCAGAACGTGTATCCTTGGTCCCTTGTTCTTAACGGCGTAAAGCGGGACCCGGGGATCATTGGTGCATTAATGAGCGGTGAGCAATGTTGGAATCGCGCCCGAGGGGACGCGTCGGTGAACGAGGCTTAAAGTGTCGTAATAGCGACGTAGTCCATAAACATTAGATCGACGATGATGGTAGACGACGTTAAGTTCGCCCGAGAACGTGTCCCGTCGCCGTTGGCGATGCTCGCGGTTGCGCGGCTCCCTCAAAGGTAAACGATATATCGGGTTCCCCATTTGATGTTTGCAGTCGCCATCATGTGGACAGAATCTACTCCGAGCGAGCGAGTCCGGCTGATCGTTTGAATATACACACGGGGTTGTTTCTTTTCAAATGCTTTATAGGTGTCCGTGCAGATCGCTTCTTCTGTTAAAGCATTTATTTACAGGATATTTCTAAACTGTCAAACATTTTAAGGGAGTGTTCGAGGGGTCGAAATAAGCAAAAGTGTTCCTATAAACGTGGGCTCAAAAATGAAAATTAGCATTTCTCGTATTCCTCTCAAATTCCTCGGAACATAAATGAAGTATTCACTACTAATTATTACGCTGTGCGAAATTTCAACGGGAATTATAATTTTAGACTCACGCTTATAGGAACTTTTTTTTTTATTTTGACATCTACAATGCGCTCTTAAAATCTTTAACATAGGTTTAGAAATACCCTATATATATATATTTGACAAAGGACGGTGGTTTGGAGGAAAATATATTTCCATCGCGAAGCATTATTTCGCGGCGAGATATGATAAATCTGGTTTCTGTTTGTATCAAAGAGCTCGTCAGCTCGCGGAGAGAACTGTAGTTAAGCTTTAGGGGTCTTTATATTTGCGAGAGGTTCCAATCTGGAAAATGCCCTAAGCGCGGTTAGTAAGCGCATCGATCGCGGTTCGTTGCTACGGATATGAACGGAATATACTGCCGTTAATGCATACTACACGTAATGCGGGGTATCCTAACTTTACGGCGTCCATCACGAACTCGTTCCGCTCACCGCAGCTGCTCCCGCTAATACTTCAACACAGGTTTCGCTGTTAGTTGTCGAGAGACTCGCGGATTCGCCCTCGCGAGAGAGAGCAGACAAGCCGAAGGCTCGAGGCGTGTATACGAGGCCGGGTTCTCTCTCGACAAAGTGCTACGCATCCGACGGTACGAAATTAGCTTACGGATTCGCGATAAGCGGCTTACATTTCGAACAGGGATAATCCCGTGCCCCCGCAATCGATTCTTGATCGTCGGCCAAACACTTTGAAGTCGCAGTCGTTTCTGGGCGCGCAGGCACGCTGCCCCGAAGCTTCTGCGCGCGTTCAGAAACGCGCTGCCCTATACCCGGATATACGTATATATATACCGGAATAAAGATCTCGACACCTTTAGTCGGAAGAGCGATTATTTCGGGTCAATGCCCAAGATGGCTCGAGATCGTGCCTATTTCGACCGTTCGCAGCTGCAGGCATCAATTGGCGAATCGACGCCAGTATCACGTCATAAATCACGATAGCAGCGAGAGATTTTTTTTTGTCAAAATAGCCCGCGTGTCATCAATCTGTGACGTTTCGTCAGTTATGAAAAACCACGTTGTTTTTTTGTATCGCAATACTGACGCCTCTTTCAATTTCTCTTTAATTCTAATTTATACACAGAGAGAATTTTCTCTTAAAATTTATCCTGAAAATCTTGAGACGATATGGTATTGGAAGAATTTTATAAAAGTTTCTATGATTAAATTTACTACAATAAAAAATATTAATATCCACTAAAATATATGTTCGACTTTACTATGTACATTTATTAATATTTTTTATTGTAATCAATATTAATCACAGAACCTCTTACAAAATTTTTCCAATACTACTTCCAATATTAAGAAAAACTTCTCTCCTTGTATAAGATAATATATAATATAAAATATATAAGATATATGAGATATAAGAATATATGAGAAAAATCGAGGAAAACTCTTTGAGTTGATGAGATTTCCTTATTTCCTTTCATTAAATGTTTCTTATACATATATTTTGCAAAATATTATACATATAAATTGAAAATTATGTGCGTGAAAGGTACATATAATTAAACGATACATGTTAATTTAAAATAGGATTGAAAAAATATACGATATATGCAATATATGCACACATTTATATGACTCAGGCAAGAGGGAATCATTAATGTAATTTCCCTGTTTTCAATATTGTTTATTATTGGATTAAACACACAATTAGGGTAATAAGTAAGTAATAGAGATCCAATTAGTCGGAAATAACTCGATTCGGAAAAAGGAACAGCTTCGCGGCAGCGTTCTAGTTGCGGGTCGGTGATCTAGCGTTACGATAGAGAATCTTTAATTAAGTTAAGACGCTCACCTCCTCTCCTTTGATGTCTCTATATCGAACCCATTTGCCCAGTCGCGGCCTCCAGTATTCCAGCAGATACGCCTCTGCGAATTCAACACCCACGCCATTCCCGAAACGGCCTTGAGTAGCGGTGGCCGTGATCAAGTGGATCGAATGAAGGTCGATTTCCAGCCATTCTCGAGCTTCCTTGGTGATTTGGTCCTTAGGACACCAGGCGCCACCGAGGTTCTCCGATTTCAATCTATAACATCAACAGTCGAGTGCTAAGTTACCTTTTACATCAATTTTCTATAGTAATTTTGAGAAAACAATTTTTAAATATATATTCTTTGAATATATATTATGCGCGAAGGTTGTTTGTTATTTGATATTCAAAGGCTGCGAAAGAATTTGATAAAATTTTTATACTCGACGCGGTTAAACTGAAACGCTTAAAATTATACGAACGATTTGTATTCTTAGCAATATGCTGCCCATCCGATCATCCATTTAAAATGCCATCAAATTCCGGGCAGCCATGTATGTTCTCGGTTCGGTCCGCTCATAAAAGTAACGATCTAATTAGATGTGAAAGTATCGAGTTAGTTCCTCGCCAACACCGTTCGTCTTGCGCTATCTGAAGATCAACCGATGCGCGGTCGACCATTGAAGTCCTCGCACCGAATTCCGATATTATCGCGTTTACGTGCGCGAGAACTCGGAGATTTCGTGCTCTCTCTCTTTCTCTCTTTTTGAATGTTATTTCGCTGACGCCATACGGGTTGCGCACACAACGTGAATCCGAATTGTATTTTAATGAAGCTTGAAAGATTTGGAATTAGAATAAAACGATATTACAAATTCTTTGTGCTCTTTTTTCTTCGGGGAAAAAATGTACATTCGATGTTTGCAGAAAATTATTTACATATATAAAAATTAACATTAGGAAATAATCAATATAACTGTATCAGAGTATTATCAGTGTTTGCTGTTGTCTAAATAAAATTATATAGATGAGCATATAGATAAAGTTTTGGCATCATCTTATCTTTATATAGATAATAAAAATATGTATTAAATTAAAGAATAATATTCAGATCTCTATAGAATAATATTCAGATAATTTGATTTAGAGCCATAGCACATAAAAATACTTAAGCAATAAACGATAAAAATCTTTTCTAATTTACATTTTTTATAATTATGTTTACATAAACAATTTTAAAATTGAAAAATAATATCTAAAAGTTATCTAGATGAATCACCACCGCCGCACAATTTTATCTAGATACATTTAAAACAAAATCATTCATCTTATCTAACAATAAGATGGATAAGAATTTATATATTTTCATCTCACTTTTATCCAGCTGATTTTAAAATTATCTAAGCACAACACTGTAAATCATCATGAAATTAAAGATTTTTAAAGAGGATGGCGTTGGAGAACGTTCGTTAGTATTGGAGAACGCGAGAAAGAGCAAGGAATGATGAATGGTCGCGAACGCAAACGGAAAGAATGGGCTTTCCGACTCTCGCCGTTCTCTCGAGATCATCGAAAATCTGGGAGCTTATTGAGATTTCCAAGGTCCGGTCCGATAATCACGGAATTTACATACAGGTATAGAAAATCGTATATAGATTCGCGAGTGACCACGAATCATCTTGTGATACGGGTCGGACGGAGGATACACGCGGCCATTTATACGTTCAAGCTGTGCGCGCTTCGTGCTTCGGTTTTAATCTTCGAAGGGTCGAAAGCAAGGCAAGGAGAACTCTGTTGCCGGGACCAGCATGAATAAAACATGAAGCGCAAAGCGCCTTTCCTAATTGCGTGGACCGTTTAAATGCTCGACTAAGAGTGGTGCTCCTTTTCGGCATTATACACCGAGAATATGTATACACCTATATATATATAAGGGTAGGTGTATTCTTTTCAAATTGTAGATTAGAATTCGCTGTGCAGTCAACAATAACGCAACAGACTCGAATGAAACGCGAGTTTCAAAGTGCGAGAAAAACAATAATTCGCGATGAAATTACGCGGATGATGAGACGATATTGTATGCATTTTATATACGACAGCCTCTTTTTTTTTATTTATTTACCGCTATAAATGAGATACAATTTATAATGTGAAACGATGTGCGCGCGGGATGATTATAATAATCTCTCCCGATAATGAGGAATATAAATAGAGCTGTTTACGGTGCTCGCGTCGCATCGGGACGGGAATTGCGTCGCGGCTGATCCACAAGGTGCTAATAATCGTGCCTTGAGTTCGTCATTAGCCGAGCGCATGATAACGCGACTGCATTCTCAATGCTCGGCGCGCCTGCCTGCTCGTCGTTATAATAGTCATGGCTGCTTTCGCAAGATTTACAACCTGCGTGGTGGAAGCGCACCTCTTTATCGTTAACAACCGGCTTACACCGGATGGTTAACTGAAGGTGGTTTAGCAGCAATGACGAGTTGCGCAAGTTCGGCGAACGTGTGACGTTTGACGAAGCTCTCTGTCGTTCTGAGAAAATAAAGCTACACGAATGTGTCGATATATTTCATTTTACAAATTTCTTACAGAGATTCTTTAACGTAGAGCAGGCAAATATAATTTTGCATCGAAATTTTCGTAGGGAAAAAGTGACTTTGAACAATCTAAAGAGTTTTATTATTTTTCGTGAATTATATATATTAATTGATTGTGATATTTATATAAAAAGCTGTTGATAAATTTTAATTTCCATATCGACGATATTAGTGATCTGATCGAAATAAAATCGAATAATGCGAGTGATTGAAATGAATGTTTAAAACAAAAATTTATTTAATAATATTGAATATAATATTGAATATGATATCACTTGATAATGATGTATATCATTAGGGATGCATATCATTAAGGAAAATAAACAAATGAGTTTGCATTATAAAATAATTATATGTATACTATTATATCACTATTATTTCATACGTTTACAGAAATGAATAATTGTTTTGCAAGATATTGCTGCGTTATAATTACATAAAAAAAAAAACATGAAATCATAATATATGCAAAAATTTATTTCGACATATATTTTAGCTCTTAGTAAAAATATGATTTTTTAATAGAAATTTCATGTCGAATTACAAAGTTTCGCTATCTAAACTAAATGTAAATGTATGCAAACGCGAATTTGCTTCTACAAAACACAATATCTCATTTCGCGCGTTATTTCTTTTATATCGTCAAAAATTCGCAATGGTATTCAAAATACCGACTCTTTCTCTCTCTCCCTCTCGCGCGCGCAAGTTCTATTTATAATAACTTTCCGAGAGAGTGGTCTCGCAAGGCAAGAGGAAGAATCGAGGTGTGTGGTCCCCGTGCGTTCCCGAAAAAAGACGATCCGGCTTAATCGTTTCCTCGACGGTGGGACACGACGCCGAACCACCGAAGACTCCATGTCGTTCGCAGCTACACGTCTGACACGGACGGGCGGCATTAAATCGAGCGAGGCGAGAGAAGGGCTGCGTGGCAAACTTAAATTTTCCATCGCGTCAACCGCCTCGCGGTCGATTCTCCGCATTCGCCGGAATAAAACGGGCGCGTGACAGCGGGACTGCTCGCTATTCGCGCGCGTTAACGTGTCTGCATTATGCAAAACCATCGATCGGGAAGATTGACGGACATCTCGAACCGCGGGCCGGCGGCGAGTGGCGGAGCACGACGATCGATCCGACAAAAAAAAAGATGGAAAATGATTCGCGCGCGATTTCGTACGACAATAGCATCCGTCCCGTCACAGCCGCGGTCAGAATTTAATTTCGCAGTGAAAAAAAAAAAAAGAATCGCCGTTATTACCGTTTCGACGACGACGTTGTCGGTCACGGGAAAATTGAATCTGTCACGCAGCGGAATTTTTATCGTTACGGATTGAATGATCGTTACGGAGAAACGAGGAGTTATTTTTCAATCTAATGCACCTAGCACGAAGGGATGGTAATCATCTTCAATATATATTCGACTATAATAAAGAGATTCTTCAAATTACGCACTAGCTAATTACATGAAAATATTTTAATTGGATACGTCGCGTACTGTCGGAACAATTTTATCCGTGTAATTAAATATTCAGGTCGACAGAGAATATTGGTTCGTTGGCCGGGGACGACGAATTTGCCGAACGAAATTATTCCTTAGACGTATATGCTGCTTTACATTCATCTCTTAATCACATTTTCTCGATTTCTGCTTGTTAAATTCGTCTCAAAAATTCTGCTTTTTATATAAGGTGATCATTTCGAGCTACGCGAACTATATACGAGTATCTACCCGCAAAGTTTCCGAGCTAGTTCTCCACGGACGCGAATAAATAGCAAAACGTTCTTGTCCTCGAGTACTTTACGCTCGGCCTCTTTTGTTAGTAACATTACATATATACAAGTTAGATATATATATATATATAAGTGGGTGTATGTGTTGTCGAGTTAAATCGAGTTTCTCATGGCGTAATAATAAACTTGGTAGTTGCTTGTATTTTTTTTCATCAGAGTTTATACATAATTAAATTATACAAGTATTTTAAGACATTAATTATTTATTAGATGATATTAATATATCGTGTAGTTTATTGTTATGTTAAATATCCGATTCTATGCGATTCGATTGTTTTGCGCGTTCTCAATTCAAATGATATTTATAATAAATCAATGACAAGCTTGATGCTTATTAATCGAATCTTTACTGATTTACTGTTATTACTGTTATCCATCGTTGTTGCTCTCTTTTTTGTGAAATCTACCTATATTGTGAATATTGCAGGATTAAATGTTACTAAGATCGGATCTATTTTTATGAAACCGTATATTTAATTATTCTTTCTGTAAAAAAATACTTTAGCTATTTAATTTTTATAATTACTAAATATAATAGAAAAGGATGTATGTACATATTTAGAAGCTAATTTAAATAGACTAGTAGTAAACGATATATTAATATTTTCGTTTTCTTAAATAATTCTAATTGGCATCTGTCAATAAAACAGTTAATTATTTCAAAATGTTTTCAAGTATAATTGTGCACGTGAAAAGAAAGTAAATATCGACACATCATTTAATTGGCACATTTCAAGAAGCATTAGTCAGATCGATTATTTTTGGAGAGCTCTTTGTTCGCGATGGTCCAGATATGTCTTTGTTCCAATAATTATTTTCTGACATTTCGACTCGATTTTTAACAGGAGTAGGTAAGCTTCGAAAATAGAATTCCACTCTGATAACGCTTGACGCGTCAAAGATATAAACAACAATAAACGGTGCGCATGCCTCTTTTATAACTGCTATCCTATCTTTTCTAAATTATAGTGTATTAAATAATGACTCTGAGAGAGCTATTACGAGCTTGTAAAAATTCGCTAACTCGACGCCGGCACGTTCTTTCCTGAAGTAAAGATCTCGTATCGTGTAGTTTTCTGCCGTTCCTCTATTTAGGAAAATGGTTCGTATCGTATTTCCAGCTGTTTGAGTGTACGCGGTGAAAGCACATACGTGCACGGAAACAACCATCGTTCGAAAGCTATGGTAATATTAACGGTATACATTTACAACGCGAATAATAACAATTAAATATTCCGCTCTCCCGCTTGAAAATAAATTCGCGAGCTTAATGGTATGCATCGATGTAATTAGCACGTATAATCACAGTTGTACGGCGAATAAATTAAAACGCGCACTATATATATTTTTGTTCCAAATACACAAAATTACGCGGCGAAAGTCGTCCCTGTGATTTCTCAACCCAACGTCTAATTTCTCCGAGCGCTCCTATCTCGTTCCCGTTCTATGTTCCTCTACTTGGCGTCTTAATTGCATCCATTCTGGAAATGCCGTTGAACGGAAACACGAAGAAAAGGAAAACGGGCGGAAACGTGCAAAAGAACTTGCAGCCGCGCGATTCTCTTGAAAGGAGCGCGCGCGTGTGCGGTGCAAAATGCAATGTTGCTTTTTTTTTCGCACCGATTGTACGTCAAAAATTTTTCACTCGATAATTGGAAAAGACGCGCTCCATTAGCTCTCTCGCGATACGCGTCGGGCGCGAAAAACTGTTTATTCTTCCATTCACGGATGATTTATCGCGGTTCCGCAAGCGTTGTAAATCAGATTTTCAATTTCAATTGAAATTAACAAAGTCGTATTCGAGGAAAACGAATCCTTCTTCCGTACGTTCGATTCACTACATATATTCGCGAAAGAAATATTTTTCTTCTTCGAGAGACCATCAAAATGATCATCGTACGATAAAACCGCGCGCAAAAGTTACGGGAAAAACTCGTCTTCTAAACATATTTCCGCGCAAGAGCTCCATGTCAACCTTTATGTAATATTCAAATTATGAAACAACCTGTGTGTGTATTTTATATTCCGTGTGTTTTCACTCGGGGAGATTTCTCTCCGACGTAACCACGTCGCGCATCTCCAAAACGCGTTGTTTTAATTCGCGACGGCGGACGTTTTCAGTATAACGAGAGTCCGCTATTTTTTTTCTCTCTGTCTCTTTTTTTTTACCCCTCTATCTTCTTTTCTAAGCGCACGCCCGGTGGTGCGTGAGAAAGAAAAATGCGCCGTAACCGCGGTAATTCGTATATCGGGGCAAAAATGTTCTCCGGCCTGCCATCATCTCGCGAAATTCCGAAGGAAATGACGGGGCAATTTCCTTTTTCTCTTCTCCCTTTTTTTTTTCGTCGAACAAAAAAGAAAGGGAGAAAGAAAAAAGAGAGAGAGAGAGAGAGCAGTTGTAAACGTCCGCGGCACCTCGCGCGCCCGAGGCCGGCCGACCTGTATTAAATTAGATGGTGACGTGCGCGGCTGGAGAACAGTGGAAGAGAGACAGAGAGAATCCCGGGTGCGCACGATGTGGGGGCGCGGCGGAGCTCATCAAGACTCGGAGGCCCATTCAGCCGGTCATTGTCTGCGGTAATGGAATGTATTAATATCGGAGAGCCCGCGGGGGCCGTCGACTAACGGGCTCCATGTATATACCATAGACCTGGTGCGCGCACCCCACTCGGGATCGGTTCGGTTCTCTACAACCGCGGCCTGCCGGACTGGGATACCACGTCCCGTGGGACGGAATATTCGTATATAAACCTGCAAACCGCCGGCGAATACCGGGCCCCGCACGCATTAATATCTAAACGCGTATACGCAAGCGAGAGAGAGAGAGAGAGATGGAGAAAGAAACAAGGGTTGAGGAGCTAGTTTGGCGCACGTACGTTCCGCCGGTTGCGTATCTCGTATTCATGCGTTGCACCGGCGGCTACCAGAGGCGTTGCCACGACCGACCCTTTTACCACTGCAGCCAGGTGTAATACTCTTTTTAGTCTAGGTATGATACGTCAAAGGTCCTTTTGTGATAATTGCATTAGAGGACGAGAGGCTCCTGCGGAGGCGCTTGTCCGCTGAAGGCGATCTCTGTTTTGCGCTGCCAGCCATTTTGCGAAATGTTTGCGAGGTGGATGGAGGAGTAGTGGTACGCGAATGTGCGGCGAAATAGCGAGACAAAATGCAGGCGGAAATTAATTTGGAATGGAATTAATTCTACCGTTGTACTTAATCGTATATTAACTCGGTATAAAGCAAAAAGTTGCATTAAACGTCCGCACTTGTAATAAAGCTCCACTACTGAAATATTAATTTGTACGGAAATGTAGAACGAGGGGGGGAGGGGGTTTTTAAGGTTTCCGGTGGCTATTAGAGTGTTGTCGTTGTTATAAATAATTGCGAGCGTAAACAGCACACGCGACGGATAATGACATAGAAATTATTAACGCAAAACAGAAACGGGCGGCAAATCCCCGATCGGCCATAAATTCGTGTCGTATAATTTTCGTCAGCCGCGCGATTAAAAATAAATTCGTTTTTAAATCGAAGAACAAACTGATGCTTGCGCTGACACGGTGGTGGGAGGAAAATCGACGATCGGTTTAACAGCTCTATAAATATTCATTTCGCGCGAGCAAGTGCCAAACGAGAGAAACGATAGCTATCGGAAAGGTATGTACGCGGATTACTTAATTATACGTTGTTGCTGCGAGAATTTATACCTCCCGCGGGGATAGGCATTAATTTATATAATTAGATTTCTCTCTTTCTCTCCCTCTCTCCTCGCCACCGCGTTAAACTTTTTTCGTTTCGCGAAGCGACGATAAGAGACGTCGACTAATCTCCGTTAGTTGTTAGTCTTTGCGTATATATATATATATGTATAAGCGAGGGGGTTAAAGCTACGCCCCGTTAGATCAGAAATAATTACGTTCGCGGCCCGGTTGCTCTCTTTGTTACGCGGGTAATAATGTCTTTCGCCGTGGACTTGTAAACCTGATATTCCGGATTTTACGTATTAACGAGGGAGCCGAGCGTTTCGCGAGAGAGCTTTTGGTATTCATGCGCGCGCGCAGAGGCGTTACAATTAGCTCTTCCACGAAGCGATATATTTACCTTGTCGATATATAAAAAGAGGAGAAAAAAGGATCACCAGTTTGCTTTCAAACCGGAGGAGCATGAGCGTCCGCAAAGGGAGGCATTTGCTCCCTTGAAATCAGCTAAAAATTATAGCGTTTGCTCTCCTTTTAAACACTAAAATTTATTTTTGCATATTTAATATAAAAAAATAAAAAGAAGAAAAAATGAATTTAGAAAAATTAAGAAAGAACAAAAAAATTAATTATGCCCCCTTCTGGAAAAAATTCTGCGATAATGCGATGCTCGAATTCACACTAAAATTTATCTGCATATTTAACTTAAAAAAAATAAAAATAAATTTAGAAAAATTAAGAAAGAACAAAAATAAAAAACAAAACAATTAATGACGGAAAAAAAAATCCCGCGGGAATGCGATGCTCGAATTCATTAGTTTGCCGTGATAAAAAACGACGTGAAAGCGAAAGTCTATCCTCTTTATGAATATTGCATTTCGAGTTTGATTTATGCGTTACGCGTGCAAAAGATCGCGGCCGGGATCAATTTTTTTTTTTATTTTTCGTATATCTATAACGCGAAGGTCCTACGATATCGGACGCGTTGCAGCGGCCAGATCGCGAGTGCATCGGAGGGCAGCAGAAGGCGCCGGTAGATACGAGTGATCGATGGCGGCCCCGGCGGGCTATCCGAATGAAAAACTGTCGCTTACCGTGCCAGGTGGGGACCGACGTTTCCGGTGTCGAAGCTGGAACTGGCGTTGATATCCATGTCCGGGATCGCCCCGGACTCCATGCCGAGCGGCGCGATGCATTGGGCTGCAACAAACAAACGTGGCGTCGTCGAGGTTAGCCGGGTTTTGAATTTATATACGACCCTGGCTCTCCTGCAGGCGCGCTACATCGCCGCGGCCGGATCATAAACGGCTAAATAACCAGCTAACCGAGATGGATCCGCGCGATAACTCGGTTTTACGCTCGCGTGCTACAGTTGCTTGCGCCGTGCGGGTGGAAGTTTCGGAGGAAGGAGGCTGGTAGTGGGCTGCCTCGACGTTTTCCATATCTCCTGGACCGATCTAATTGTTTCACAGATGAACACAGCTGCCTTGCGAGGATCGCGCTGGGATGTCTTCCTGTTGCGCGAGATAGCCCCGCGAAATATTTATTATCGTCGTTGTGTATACGATGTCGATCGCGCGGACGACGATGAAAAATGACGTTGATAACGCGACGAAGGGGTGCGCGAATCGTACAATGTACGCGATTTTTTTTTTTATGTCGGTCGTAATAAATTGACGACGGTTTTCGGGATCGTCGACTTTGGCGCTCATTAATGAAGATTTAATAGTCCGAAAAGAATACCTTTCCCCGTGTATCTACCTCGACGAGCATCAGACGCCAATGACAGGGTTAAGGGCCATCGAAGAAACGATACCGTCTACTTTGCATACATTATTTATTCCGGTCTCTCCAGCGCGCGCGCATTTTCAAGAGGCGTTCCTCTCCCGCTTGTGCAATAAAGTTCGAACAAAGTATGACGTATGTTCGCATTCATATCGTCCGCGTCACGGCGGTACCATTAGGGACGAGGGTACACATTGAAAAAAATTTTTTAATATTTTTTTTCTTCAAGGCGCCATTAATCGCCCACGCGTTATCTCGGGCTCTTTGTCTTCGGAAACGCAGCAGACCTGATGCTCCATTGCGCGTATTGCGTCAAAGCTGGCAAATTCACAGACGAATACGATATATATACGGTATATATACACGTCGGGTCCTTGTATAATTCGACAAAGGAGCGCATATATCGAAGCGTAACTAATTCAGGCACGCGACGGCCTCCCTGATCGCTCGTGAACACCCAGAGTTTCGAGTCCCACGTGCATGGTGCAGCGTCGCGGCATCGATTACGCTTTACACGCGAAGTAACGATGCCATTACGCAACACACGGAGACTGTTAAAATTTCAAGTGTATCCGGCCGATAATGCCTAATGCCCGGATATCGAGTGCAGATGTAGCTGTTATAAGGGCAGGGTTATGCAGAGGGAGGATGCAGCTTTGTGCCCGGGAGGTGCATAACGGAAGGAATCCGCGCTAAGTCAACGGAACACGGGCGCATGTAGGTGGCCATTAATACCGACGAAAGTTTGCAGTGTTCTTCCGACGTTATACCACTTTCCTTTCTCTCTCTCTCTCTCTCTCGTAATTCCGCGCCCGGAGTGAAATGTGTATTTTGGTCTTACGTTTTAATCCAACGTGCTTTATCGCCGAACGAAATCTCCGCGCGAGAGCAACGGAAAGGTTGCAGGGGGTCATAGGGGTCGTCGACGGGGCTTAAGATTATAAAGCTCGCAATTTGCGCGACACGCGCAACTTACGCATACCAGGAGTTTGCAAACCGGAATCATTTAGCGGAGCTCTCTGTCATCGAAACCCCCGTGGAGATCCATGTGGAAATTGTGTTTTCGCACATCATTGCACATTTTTCAAATTTGAACAATGAAATTTTATAGTTTTTGACGAGTTCTTATAGTTCTGTAACATAGTTCCGACCATACACTGTAAAAAAATTTTGTAAAATTACATTAAAAATATGTAAAATTACATAAATAATAAATGTAAAATTACACGATAAATAATGAAAAGGTAAACATTTTTATTATTTATGGTGTAATTTTACACTTATTATTTATGTAATTTTACATATTTTTGTGTAATATATTACATATTTTTTTACAGTGTAGGCTGCCACTAAATATATATTTAATCCAAAACACTCGAATTTTCGAATATTTGATAAGCGTTGACGCTTTTTTCATATTTTGAAGCCTGCTTAAACATATTCAACATATTAATTATTTATTAATAAAGCATTTTAATAATTATTTAATTTATGAATTATTTAATTATCTAATTTTAAAGTTATTTATTTATATAAAGAGCCTTACTTTAGTATTATTATTTAATTTCTATTAATAATATATTATTTAAAGATTCATATTTTTTAACAGTTATCAGCTGATTTCTGTCAAAAGATGAATGGAGTTAAAATTTATTAATTTTTTAATATCAATTTTTTAATATAAAAGTGAAGAATGGCGCGCGCTTGTGTTGTTCTAATACCTATTATATATAATATATGACTCAATAAAATTAATAACTTTATCAAGCCCTATCAGGACTCTTATCGGTTTCCTTATTCAGACCATACATTAAATTAGCTACTCAAAATTGATATCACCTTACTAGGACCTAATCTGGCAGTAATGTGGAAATCCCTATAAATAGGGAGCCCACGTTTAAGCCCTTAAAGGCCCCGTTTTTGAAGATTGCCCTAACAATTTCCCATATGGGACCTCTTTGTCATCGAAACCTCCCGCGGAGAGATAACCGGAAACGATAACGCGAGGCGAAGGCAAGTACACGATATGTGCCGTTAATGCGACTTCGATCTCTCGAGCAACGCGATCGTAATCGACGGACCGGAAGTACGTAACGAGCCTACAAATGCACGTCGCGTCGAGGAAGCAACCGGTCGAGCGGATTAATCTCCGCGCTGCTGTTATTAATCGAGAATTTCTCTCTCTCCTCGAGAATCACATCGCGATTCTCCGGCGCTCTATAATATATGTACGTCCGACTTTCTCGGCGCCGATTAGAATCGACAAAGGGAGGAAACGCGCCGACCGGTCTCGTTATTATTAATGAAGGGCTCCTCCCAATATATCGCGATATGCCCGTCGCTAATATATGTCCTCGGATTCCGCGGAGCGCGATAATAGAGCGAAAAATTCGTGCGAGGAGCGAGTTCGAGATCATCGACGCGACTCTCTCTTTCTCTCTCTCGCTATTATTATTAATGAAGGTCGGCCCCCCCGATACATCGCGATTTCGTCGCTAATATATGTCTTCGAATTCAGCGGGAGAGGCGATTCGAATCGATGGTAGGAAAGTCGTGCCAACAAAGGGAGGAAGAGATTCGATCGAGATTCGTGGCGGGCCAACATGGCGGGCTATTATTATTAATGAAGGTCCAACCGATATATATATATATATATATGTGTATGTATACGTATATATCGCGCACCCCCGCCGGAATTCTCACGACCGTTCAGCCTTGATAAAGTTGGACCGTTTCGCGACGGAATCCATTTCCTTTGTCGCCCATTGGCGCGTCCGGTCCAATGGGCTATCATAAGATATCGCGATCGTAAATCGATCGTGAATAAGGATTCCTATCACTGAAAAAAAATTTATTGAATTCGAATAAATATTTATTTCAATACCGCCTAATAAATCATTTACTTGAAACTAATTATATTTATTTGATGTAAGAAAATCCTTTTCAAAACGGACAAATATTTATTTGTTTCAAATAAATGATTAATTAGGCGGTATTGATATAATTATTTATTAATTTAATCATTTGTTTTCATTGTATAAACGCGACACTTTTCGTCGATCTCTCTCTTCGTTTAATCCTCGAGATATCTGATGGCAGGATACCTTGTATGATTCTATATCTCTTGGAGGATGAAAAGACAGTTAGCAGGATTCGAGAAAAACATTATCGATTATTTCCCAGGTATTGGCGCTGAGATAAATTACGAGGGAAGGGAGGAAATCGCTGAGGATGTTTGGAAGGGCGCAATTATTAAACGTTCCGTTATGGCGGCTATACGATGCGATTTTTCTTCTCTCTATGCCCGGAAATCTATTTCTATTAAGTTGCTTCTCGCGAACAGGGCTTCGCGAAACAAGGCAATTATTTATTATTAATACGATAAGTGGGATACTCCGCACCGTCTTGGAAAGCAAATTTTCTTTATAATTTTGTTGATTTATAAAGCTATTCCTTTTCATTCAGGCTTATATATTCAAGCCGATTAATTAAAAATTCTAGCAACACTAAGTGTATCAAATATTACGACTCGAATTCTCTGAAAACAAAAGATATATAATGCTATTAGATGATATTAATAATGATAATGATATTATTAATATAATTTATCGCAAATATTTTCGTATTGAAAGATGTGTTATTTCAAATCTATCGAATGCCATTTCTTCTCGAGAAATGAATATTCAAATATATATTTGATATAAATTTTTAAATGATTGAAATTGAATTTGTTAATGAAAATTGGAATTATTTGACATATTTTTGTTATACATATACAAAGTATATATTTAAGTAATTATTTCTTGTCGAGATGCAAATGTTGAGAGTCCGCTTACTGGAAGACCCACGAGACGTCGCTCAATATAGGCGCGCGCGACTGAAATGACATAAGACGCGGCGTCTTCAGATAGACAAGATACCTAATGACCACGGTCAAAGCCGATCCCGGATCGAAAGTTCGTCGACTGCGGCGTAAGTTCTAGCAAGCGTAGGGAGGAAAGTGGTCGCGCAAGCCCCGCGTCGTTAATAACTTATAAACGAAACAACCTGTGTGCGCGGGCCAAAGAGCTATAGCCACAAAGTTTCACGACGAGAGAAGCGACGAGTACTATATGCGGATTAGAGCTTAGGAGCTACTTACAGAGGTCCACGCCGTGGTAAGCGGGGGCGAGCGCGAGCAAAACGATGAAAAGGTGGACGGCAGGTGGCGCCCTTCTGGCGAGGAAATCTAAGCTTTTCATCATAGCTCCCGTTTCCTGCGAGGGCTTCACCCTCGCCCTTTCCTCACCGAGATTCCCGCCGTGCCATTTCTGCCTCGTCAACCTGAAACAAAAAAAGAGAGCGCAATCGCGTTATTTCGTGCTTGACAATTGTCGAGCCGGGAAGATGCTTCCACAAAGCGGGTCGTTTTGTTGACTGGAAAATGAGTTCGCCTTCGTGGAGAGATGATGCGCGTAGTTATCGCGGGAGTGAATACCATCTTGAATGTTGAGGACATTCTCGTGACGGAGACAATTTTCTCTTAAAATTTATTCTGAAAATAATCATGGGGCAATATATGGTTGGAAGAATTTTATAAGACTTTATCTCTCTGATTAATATTTACACAATAATATATGTATACATAGTAAAATTAATCAAACATATTTTATATCTTATTGCGATAGATATTAATCAGAGAAAAATGTATCTCTGATAAAACTCTTCCAATTCCATATTGTTCCAAAATTATAATTCGTTGTTCAAAAGTGAAAAGATATTTCTTATAGAAATTTTACTATAAAATGATTCTTTATATTATGTAATTTTTCAAATATTTTATTATGATTTTTCCTAAATATCGAAGGAATTGAAGACGCAGTTAGATTTTCTCATGCCATATACACCTTCTATAGAAATGCCACAAGAATGCGATGCGTGTTAGCTAGAAACATGTTTCGAATAGGCAGGCGATTTTTCGAGCCGTGAGATCACGAGAACATTTTGCGATCAGAGATCGAGCTTTGAAAGGCATCTTGAAGAACTGTCGTGCGATAATGACTCTTTATTGGCTTACGAGCCTCTCGTAACTGATAATGCGTTTCTCCCACTTTGTGACTCTGCGGTACACGTCAGATGTGTATATACATATGTTATATATATACGACGAGAGCGTAACTCGCGATCTCTCGATCGTGAAGAAGGTGTCTCGAGTTTGATGGAGCATCCGCGAGTAATTGCGCCGACGGTGAATAAGTAATGGCGAGAGAATCGCGGTAAGAAGTCGTTCGGTCGTAGGCCTCGCGTGCTCCGCATTAAAGATACATGCCGCAGCTTATAGTCGATCGCGACGGTGCAAAATCTGTTCTACGGCGCGCGTCCCGTCGTTTCTTTCTTGATATTTCTCTCTCGTAGGAAGAAGAACCGGTAAGAGAGCTCATCGAGCAAAATCCTTCACAGCTGCTCGACCGTAGGACGATCGCTTATTGTAGATCTTATTTGAATTCGAAACGAGTGGCATGATGTATTATCGCCCGCTGACTTTCGAACCAACATATGAATGACGATAATAATATCAGTTTATTTTCCATAATCGAGTAATTGAATATTTATGAAGTAAACGAATCGCGTTCGCGGGTATATTTTTCGCGTATGGAAATTAACCATTCTGCTAACAAACATGCATAATTAATTTATGCTAGAGAAATATTTTTATTTTAAGTAATTTTGCATTGTTTTACATATGTATAAAAATATTTATCCAATATTAATATATAGGACAGTTGAGAGGAAAATACGGTAGGATAATTATTTGACCTAATCGGGGAATGAATTTATAAAAAAATGATAATAGAAGAATTAAATATAGCGTACATATAATATACAAGTTTTTCGAGAAACGTGATAATTAACGCAGAGTTTAATTAAACACAACGATAGGTACACAATATAGTACGTTGCTTAGCAAAACGAAACGTTACGTCTCTCGCGTAAACATTTAATCTTCCTAAGCGCCGGGTATTAAATTAAAAATTATCGGAAAAACAGTATTGTTTATACGTCGAGCCGCCATAAAAGCTTTATCTCCTCATTGTATTCATGAGGGACTTAACGCCCGCGACGCGCTCCGTTCGAAATCAATTCTCCAGGACGCGGTAAGCACTCTGCGTCGGCCACGAAATTATTCATCGATTGTTTTCTTTTCATCTCGCAGACTACAGAAAGGGGGACAGATTATCGCGCGATCGTTTCAGCAGGCAGGTGCCACTTTTCTCGTCGTCGCCGTCCTTTTGGATGGCCGGCCAGCGCGTCGCGAGGGAAACGAGAGGATTTCGCAATTATTATGCCGTCGACGCGCGGCGAAGGAGATTCCGTTTACGATCGGTATCGTTTACGATACACACATACACACACACAATATATATCTATCTTATATTTATCTACACTCACACGCCAGCAGCTTGCGCGCGAAATGGCATGCGCCCGCACGCGTGCGCGCATGTATAGAAGCTCGTTTAAGCCGCGATGTAAGCCACGGAGGCTTCCCGTGATACCCTAGTTCAACGTCGAATCTCTTCGTTTGCATAGGAATGAGTTTATGCAGATTAATACACGCGAGACGTCCGTGTAGGGAGACGCCACGTGGGATGTGGCGCGGCACCTACACCTACGAAAGCTGGCGAGTTGTACGTGTATACATATTTTATTGGCGGTATCGCGGATTTCCGATCGCGAGGTTGCTTCTATATCTCTCTATCGATTCGATTTTCACTTACAAGACTCATTTCGTTTTATATCTAAGTAATATCGATATACACGAGACACGTCGTAATAGAGATATCTCGTTTCACCGAGCGAGTATTAATTTTATTTCCGACGATACGCGGCGATTACGAGTTTCTGAATGTTTGGTAGCTATTTGCATCCGTAATTAATTTGATATTATTTATAAGCTGGTTTTGCCAGCTGGTTTTCATCGAGGAGTAATAATATACGCCTGGCATAATTGAATAAGCGTTAAGACGCTATGAATACTTGATGCGTTATTTAATTACAATCTAGGGAACGGTATCACTCGCGTAACTTGTTTAACGGAGAAAAGGCGGCGTGTAATATCATTGTACTATCCAACAACACATGTAGTTTTTACGAGATACATTTGCTCTTTTCCGGTGTGCGAGCTCCGAAAGAAATCACTCCCGACAAATCGTCGAGTTGACCTTAATTGCGCGGAAGCCAAGGAGAAACGATGTCGGCGACGCGGAGGTGAAGTCCTCCCGTACAAAACGAAGCCAATGAATTCAGTAATCCGCTCTGACGGTCGAGTCGTTGTCCAGGACGAGACTTCGGGATATAGCGGAGAACGAGGAGAGCAGCAGCTGGGTATCTCTCGCTCGGAAAAGCGATCCTTATCGTTCGTAAAAACACGTATGCATCGACTCTCGTGGAGAAATACGAGCCAACCGCGAGCGTAACCACGCCCGACGAATGGAACGTTAATGTCAGTTAATTATCTGTAAAGCTGTTCGGGAAAGGGAGATTCGTTTTCGAGCGCGATCGTTTGTAAGGCGTGGGCGAGGTAGACACGGCTCGTGAAATCACGGAACTGGCGTTCCTCCTGTCGGCTTCGTCGACGAAAGAAAAAAGTGCCGCCTGTTTACGGATTCCGGGAGACTGTTTGTACCTCGTGGGAGACTTGTCATCGAGTCAGATGAATCGAAAGATTATAACGAGGCGATCCTGTTAGGCGACTCTTTGCGAGCCCGACTGAAAACATCGAATCTTTTTTTTTGTTACCTAGTATACTATTATTTTTTAAAATTTTTTTTTTACATCTAATGATGATAAATAGTTTGAATGAATATATCAATTTAATCGATATATTTAATTTATTTTATAAATAATATATTAAATAATTAATAATTTTTGAAATGATATCATCTCTGTGTGGCTTTAATATTTTATATGCATTTATAAATTTATTTACAATCGCGTGAATATGATTTTTGTTCTTACATCCAATATAAAAACTGCAAATCTTGACAGATAAAATATTATGCCAAGTGTAACAAGGTACAAGAGAATTTACAATCGATCTCAGCCATAATCTCCATATTGTATTCGAAAACACGTCTCGACGATTCAAATTCATTCAGATTAGGATTTCACGTATTCTTAGCTCTATAAAAGGTCAGGAACAATAGAATCTATACGCAAACACAATTGCTGCGTTTTGTATTTCTCTCACGGATATATTTGCGCATTATAATCAAATTTTATTTAGCTGTTTAATAAATTTTTTCATGCAAATTTTCCTGTATTAATATTTGCAGTCAATTTATATAAAAAAATATTATTAATCTTGCTTATGACATTTATGCAAAAATTTATATCATATTTATAAAAGTTATTATTTTTATTTTAATTGACAGCAAACAAAAACGCGATCTTGCGGGAGAGAGATGAGAGGCTATAAATTCGTCGTGTAGGATATTTAGTTTTATTACATTTCTTCCGCTTTACTGAATGCAGTTACTCACTAAGGAACTAAACTATAAGAATTCCTTTCTGTCTGTTCATCCTTCCCCATCGACATATGTATGTCTCGGATAAGATAACCCGGAATTATAGAGGGCTTTATTCGAGGATCGTCTATCACACGACGTTTAGATTTATGGCGCTGTATGTAGTGGTTGGTCGACTTTCCATTTATCAGAACAGCAGTACCTGTAGCATTTCGGACGCGATAGCTGTGCGAAACAGCCGCAAACTTCGATCCCGCGAACAAATGGACGGAGTCTCGCGAAAGAAACGGACGGATGGAAAAATCACAATGGGAGGTAGCGTCGGATGCTCCGGCAATCCCTCCCTATTGTCCGTCGACTCGTGAAAAATGCACGCTGATTTTCCGTAACAATGCTGACGAAAGGAGGATTTTACTGATCGCGCAACCCGACTAAGGAAGCAGTATTTTGGCTGCATTCCAACTGTTAGACATTACAATGTCTTACGCGTGTAATTATTACGTGAATGTATTTGCACCACAAGAGATAATAACTGTTATTAACGTTTCTGTAAACGTTTCTCTAATATATATGTTCTCATTTTTATCAACATATTTATTAAATGTTTTAGCCACGATTTTTTTTGCTTTTTGTGAATGTCTGACAAAAATTATTAAGTGTTCTTAAGAAAATATTCCGGTAATTTGAATAGATACATTTCTCAAAAAAACACGGTGAAAATGGTCAAGTAATCTATTCGCTTGTGTTTAAGAGTGGATATTCATGGCTTTGATTTGTGTGACATTGTTGTTCTAACGGGGACCACTCAATGTCCCTCGA